AGGGTTATTTAATTTGTGGCCAAATTATTATTATTTTTTTAAATTTAATTACACATCTGTAATTTAGCCTATTTATATATATTGTCAGATGTTGATGTGACACAGACTCATCATGACACACAGTAGTACAATCAAAAAATTATACTAATAATTACTGATTCTTGATACCAGTTGTGTTTGTTTTGTTTCCAGTGTTTAACTATTAATATAAGTTAAATATTACTGTAAAATAACAATTATGAATAAATAAAAAAATTTACTATGCATGTAGTCTACAAGCCATGTAGCTTTTGAGTAATTTTCAATTAAGTCAGCCAAAACATTGCCACAAAAAAGAAAGTAAATAGTTAGTAACTATTTGTAAAGTAAACTATTTGTAAAGTGTTTTCCCTGCATAGCTGAGAGAAATTAATTGAAAAGACAACAGTAAGGAGCTGGCAATATATTAGCCCCTAAATATGACAATATATGAGTGTGTATGAATACTATACTGTATATGTAATGTATATATTAGAGTAATATTAATGAATTATTATGCAATGTTTTGAGCAACTGGCAGACTGTCCTTAGAGACAGAGCTCTGCATCTGTCGACAAGCTGTCAGTGATGGAAGATAGAGTTGTGTTTACTGTAATGAGAAATGCATGAAGTTGAGAGCAATCTTCACACATCATAAAAACTTGCTTAATTTTAAACTGACAGCCATCAGTACTTGGGTAAGAACTGATTTAAATGTTGACACTAGTCGTATATCTGACTGTTGCTTTGGCTAATTATGTCAACCAATCAAAGCACAGAATTTCTCATAAGCTATAGAGTATAACAGTCGGGTTCTGGAAATAAAAATCCTATTAATCCTAATCTCCACTGGGGAATTTAATTTTAATGATATCTTAAAAAAATAAATAAATAAAACATGTTTAACAGCAGCAGAATTCCTATAGTGAAACACTACATTACCCATGATTCTGGAAAAAAAAAAAAAGAAAAAAAAACACTACACCAATCAAAGAATCAAATGAATTGCGCCAAAAACACTACTTAAAAACTATAGTTGTATATATATATATATATGTTTTCTATAGATAATCAACATTTTTTTAATTCAATAGTTTTACATTTATCCATTGTCTTTATTTTCAATGATGTAATTGATGGGATTGTACATTAAAGTCTTTATGCACACACCTTTGTCTTTCCCCCCAATTTTTTTAATTCTTATATGCGAAACATACCATAATAAGGCTGCTGAAAAAGTGGGCGGGCACTGTTGCACTCTACAACAGTCATTCCTGGTGCTCTAATCTGATTGGACAACACAATTCCACAACTTGCATGGTGATGTCAGAGAAACAATGTTATTCTTCAAGCATTCAAAAAGACACTTCACTATGAAAACTCAGAGGTAAGTGCAGCTTGACATAAACAAAGCTTATTTAACAGAAATATATTTGCTTCAGGCAGCAGTAAGCATTATTTCCCCCAGCTGAGGCATCAATAAGGATACAGCAAAAGTTACTGTGTTTAAAAATGATTTCATATATAAACTTGACTTAATATTTATTTATTGCCGCCTAGTGGGCACTACAGTCCTAAATCCTTATCTAGTGCCCACATCTCTACTGTAACAAGAATTCTTATGGCCTGTTGTAAAGCCAGGCTCAGACTACAGCAGTTTTTGAATCCTAACTGATTATGAAATCTGGTTGCATCACGCACATGAGAATTTTTACAAATTGTCTTCTCTCAAATCTCAAACATGATTTGAAAAAATCGTTGCCACATTACACACTACAAGATATTATTAAGGTTATCGTGCCAAAGCAAGCACCTCACCTGATCTCATGCAGAAGTAGGACATATTGGATAATGAAATGAATATTTTCTGTTCTTCAGTGAAGGTGAAGTTGAACTGAAGTATCTGTTAACAGTAATGTGTTAGATAACGGCGTCAGCCTCAATGGCTAAGAGGACGAGGAGAGAGACACGTCGTCCATCAATTTAAAATCCTAAATATCAAACATAGTTGATATTATTTGATGTGTCTGCGAGCAGATCGGGAGGGTTAAGATTAGACCTGAAAATGCCTTACATTACCAGATAATCTGGGCCGAACATTGTAACTGACCGAGGCCCTACACAAGACTTTTTTTAATTTTCAGGGATAAATCGGCCTAAAATTCCTGTAGTGTGAGCCTGGTTTAAAATGTATTTATAAAGGACAAACACACTCTTTCTCCCGACACGGTAGTAACACACACACACAAATAAAGATGGCAGAATTTGCAGTCTACTCTTAAACCAGGAGCTCGGCCCATTGCCAACAGGTGTATATGTCACAATGACCTTTTCCTAAGCACATCTCAAGAGCGGCAGTGAATCAGCACCCCGGCCCTCTACATTATTTAAGTGACTGCTCTAACAGTACACTAACAGCAGCGCTCTTACAGAAGAATAATAGCAGCGAATGTATTAAAGTTCCAGCCCGCTTAGAGAATTGAGAACTTGTTTGAACTCTGTCTGTAAGCAGAGAACAGCCCTTCATTGGGATGTAAATGCATTCCTGGGTTATTTGAATTCATGAGGTGTAACCCATAGGAATGGGACAGTCCGCGTTTGGGGTAGATTGTAAGTTGAGTGTCTGTTATTGTCCATCTCTATTGCATGTTTACTAAAACACACACACACAAACAATTGAAAAGCAATGCAGTGGTACGTAAAAACATGCCCCTAAAACAGTGTAGCATTAAAGGAATAGCTCACCCAAAAATGAAAATTTGCTGAAAATTTACTATCCATCCAAGATGTAGATGATTTAGTTTCTTCATCAGAACATTTGAAGAAATTTTGCATCTCACCAATGGATCTTCTGTAGTGAATGGGTGCCGTCAGTATGAGAGTTCAAACAGCTGATAAAAACATCACAATAATCCACACGTCTCCAGTCCATCAATTAACGTCTTGTGAAGTAAAAAGCTGAGTGTTTGTAGGAAAGAAATCCATCGTTACAACGTTTTTAACTTCAAACCGTTGATTCCAGCTAAACCTCGAGTCCAGAGAAAAGATTCTCTCATCTGAATCAAGGACAGTTTCTAAGTGAAAACAGTCAAAAACAGTTCTAAACATGTGGGTGGATTTTGATGTGAGAGGAAAACAGGGGATGGACTTTTTTTACTGGAGGATGCATTAGTGTGGATTATGGACTCGTATTTTGGCCCGAAGCGATGGTTTAAAGTTCAAACTTGACTTAAAGTCTTGGGAAAACTATTCCTTTCATTTGAATTGTCTTTCAGTAACATCATGGCAAACTCGACTGGAAGCCTGGAGCTCCAGGGACTAGAGCACACGGTTTTCCCCGAGTACACAGAGCATCCAACTCCTGCAACTGTCCAGACAAACAAGCCTGAGGAAAAGGGCCAAAACAAGAGAAAAGCCAGACAGCAGTGCCCCAAAAAGGAGCAAGAATGACACTCAAAGAAAAAAAATGGATCGCCGGACGACTGTGTGGGAGCAAATAATGAACAAAGCCCCCTTCCTGCGCCCCCTCGCATTTCTCTAAGAGACCTGATGGAGGCTGAGACAAAGTTAGTGTTCGGTGACGAACAGGACATTAGCCACAAGTCCCTGGCCTCCACGGCCACACAATTAATGTGTCAAGCGTCTGAAATAGGAGGGCCTCCGAGTGGACCTAATCTCAGCTTTCTGCCTCAAATTGACAAATGGCTCGACGCCAACTCGCACTACCAACAGAAGAAATATGCCACTGCAGCCAGCCGTTTCACTGCTGCACTAGAGGTACTCGATATTCAAATGATACCACAGGCTGCCCATCCTACAGACCTTTATCTGTTCATTTAATGCACTCACACACTAGATTGTTTGAAAATGTGAGTGCACATACACTCTTAGGTGGATCCTAAGGTGTTCAAATTCATTTTTATATGCAGTTGCTATAAGGAGCTGTCTGGCTGTTCAAGGTTGTTGAAAGAAAAAGGAAAAGCCCATCCAAGTATAAATCATAAAAATGCTTAAAGTAACCTCTTCTCAATAAACCACACAATTTGAGGTATCATGCATATGGCAAATTAAGCAGAACAATTTATGCACTCATTTAATATTTAATGTTTGAGGCTTCTTCAAATGCCCAACACTAAGCCTGAACAATAGAAATAAATGTGAGGGTACGTGATAATTTAAATAACTTTAAATATAGAAATCATTCAGTACCATGGTATTTATCAAAAAGTGCTGTGCCATCTGATACCATAACGTTACTGAGATTGTATTTTAATTGAACTGACTAATGTACAATATTACAATTCTGGCCAAAAAAAATAAATACATTCAGTAGTGTTATCAATTCATTTTAAATTTGAATAGTGTTATATGGCATCAAATGATCATAATTCTGGCCTGTTCTTGCTATTACCTGGATCCCACATTAACAGACTTTAACCATGTTTATGTGGATCTGCAGAGTGTCTCAGCTGAGATTAATATCATTTGTTGTCATACAATATATGAGGTCAAATTAGATAAAGGCCATCGAGAGAGTATTTATACACACTTTGTTGTAAAGTGAAGAGAATATTTTGCTTTTAATTAAGCTGTATGGTCATCACTGAGTTCACAATACATTCAAAAACATTCAGTGCTCAAGGTAAAATTCTTCATATTGTTTGGCTTTTTTATTGCATTACTCAGCTTGGGTCACAGAAATGCATCAAGCAGATCCTTGTAATGTGACGGTAACGTCATGTGCCCGAGTTTGTGGCCCTCAAATGCACTTGTAACATTTTCCAGCTTTCATTCATTTAAAAAGAAAACGTGTATTAAATTTGATTTGAAAATTAGTCAACAATATGTTATAAGCAGGATTATGTTGGTCAACATTTTTCCTTATCTCAACTAATGCGAGCTACCTTGGATTTCTCCAACCTTTTCTATCTCTCAGCTGTGTTCCAAAGTCACTGTGTTTGAGAAACCTTTTAATGCTGATTATGAAGACATTTGCCAGCTTTATTGAGTCCAGAATTGTAGCCTGCTATCTCCGAATGAAAAGGCCTAACCCGGCATTGCTGCATTCCTACAGGTAAATCACACACAGGACACGCAGCACACAACATGAGAATTTTCAGGCCCTGGGCCCCTCAAAAAATTACTGCTATTGATTATTGTTGTTTATAAAATGATTTATACAGAAGTACTCTGATGTTCACAAAAGTAACAGTAAAGACATTTATAATGTTACAAAAAATTATATTTCAAATAAATGCTGTCATTTTGAGCTTGGTATACATCAAATAATACTGAAAAAAAGTGATTTGCACAACCTTGATAATAAAAAAATGTTTCTTGAGTAGCAACTCAGCATATTAGAATGAAAGATCATGCGACACTGAAGACTGGAATAATGGCTTCTGAAAATTAAGCTATGCCATTACAGGAATAAATTACGTTTTAAAAATATAAAAATCGTAAAACTGTAGAAAATCGTAATAGTTCACAATATTACTGTCTTACTGTATTTTTGATCAAATAATTGCAGCCTTGGTGAGCATAAAAATATCTTACAAACAGTAGCGCAAGTGTATAAATAGTAGTTATGTACTATCTATTTGTGTTATACCATAGTAGTGTTGATTAATTAATAAAACCTAAAAATATTACAAAATTCTATTCAAAATTATTTTTTTTATAAAAATGAATTATAGATAATTATGAATCCACCGATACTGAAATTTTGGACAATACTGAAACAAATCATTATTTTTTATTATTTTTTATGGGCAATAACCAATAAAGATCAGATACTGTAAATCTATATTGTTTATAAAAATAGTTTTTATTAAAACACAATCAAAACTATCATTATATGCACACAACAACTCATTTCACCATTAATTCGTAAAGTGAAACTGCTCATCAAATGAAAGTGCTCTTAAAAAGGTCAAATCTGCTCCATAATTCATCTCTATGCCCTTAAATTAGTGCCAGATGATGATGATTCTGAATCTTAAGATAGGCAGAAACAAACACAGAATATTGGACAATGGAATTCAATAATAGGCAAAACCGATAAATAAGTGCCAATATCAAAACCTTGTCTATAATGCAATAAAGACAAAACGTATGTAGTGCTGAAAAAAGACAGTTACAACCATCATAAGCTGGGTCTGTAAACTCAAAAGTGGCCATGACAGTTTCATAGAGGTTCAATCAGTCCGCACATGATCCGCAACACTCACTCAGAGTAGATGGATGTTGATTGGCGTGTTTGAGTGTAGTGTGACAACAGTCATTTTTTAAGTGGACTGTGAGAGTAAAGCCTCCTGACCTCCAATTAACTGTGTCTGCTGTATCCAGTAAGTCATGCCCCTGTGCTGTTCTCCTTTGCTCCTCCATTAGTGAGAGAGAAAGAGAGAGAGTTTGCGGTTTCTCTGAGCTATAACTCATCCTGACTGCATTGTACCCTTGAAAAGTTCTGAACAGCTTAAGAAATGAAATGCAAGCCTGTGCAGCTCCCTCTGCAGACTAGAGGATGAAGGGAACGGGCTGAATAAGCTGACGTAATACTAGATATTTATTCATTCTGCATTTAAACTACAGTTAAAGTCAATATGAAATCAAAAATCAGTTGATCAATGTAATTGGCAATGTGGCTATTTAAGCATTCATTATGGTTCAAATGTGTTACGCAACTGCCAGTTTTAACCATCTTCAGTTAAAATGGACCTTCTACAGTGAATGGGTGCCGTCAGAATGAAAGTCCAAACAGCTGATAAAAACATCACAATAATACACAAGTAAACCACATGATTCCTGTCCATCAATTCAAATTTTGTGAAGCGAAAAGCTTTATATTTGTAAGAAACAAATCCATCAAGACATTTTTAACATTGCTTCTGGCAAGTCCTCTATCCATAATTGTTTTCTCAAGTGAAAAAGTTGCCTCGTCTGAATCAGAAGAGAAATATGCACAGATCAAGCACCGTTTACAAATGAAAACATTCCAAAGCCATTCTAAACAAATATGTCTATGGATTTGGATGTGAGAGGACAACAGGGAATGGACTTTTTCACTGGAAGAAGCATTATTATGAATTATGGACCAGAAGCGACGGTTTAAAGTTAGTGTCTTAATGATGGATTTGTTTCTTACGGACACAGAGCTTGTCGCTTCACAAGATGTTAACTGATGGATGTTAACTGATTTGTGGATTATTATGATGTTTTTATTAGCTGTTTGGACTTTCATTCTGACGGCACCCATTCACAACAGAAGATCCACTGGGGAGCAAGTGATGTAATGCTAGATTTCTCAAAATCTGTTCCCATGAAGAAACAAACTCATCTTATCTTGGATGGCCTAAGAGTGAGTACATCTTCAGCAAATTTTCATTTTGGGGTGACCTATTCCTTTAAAAATTATTTAGCAAAATGAATTTGATTATTTTAAGTTAAATGCTAAACCATCAGATTTGTTATCATCAGATTTTGTCAAGAGATTGGCATTTGGTAACTCATGCCTGGTTAAGGCCATGTAATAGAAATAGAAACACATGCTACAACATGTAATATCTGCAAATCTTGTCAGCTTGTGTCCCATCTGTCAGTGTTGTTGCTAGCAGTGTGCTACTTTATGTAGAAAAAACATATACTGTAAAAGTGTAAAAATATACACGTCACATATAGAAAATGATTTTCTGTGAGAGAGCACTGGGAACATTAAAAATAAACCTGACACTCAAAATAGCCTGAAAACGAAATCATATGCAGGGAAGTTGGGGGGAATCATATGTGACCCTGGACCACAAAACGAATCATAAGGGTCAGTTTTTCATATAAAATTGATGCATAACCATTGATGCATGGTTTGTTAGGATAGGACAATATTTGGCTGAGATACAATTTGAAAATCTGAGGGTGCAAAAAAAATCAAAATATTGAGAAAATTGCCTTTAAAGTTGTCCAAATTAAGTTTTTAGTAATGCATATTACTAATCAAAAATTAAGTTTTAATATATTTACAGTAGGAAATTTACAAAATATCTTAATGGAACATGATCTTTACTTAATATGGCATAAAACAAAAATCAATAATTTTGACTTATACAATGTATTTTTGGCTATTGCTACAAATATACCCCAGCGACTTAATGTTTATTTATTTTTGTAAAGAAGTTTCTTTTTGCTACCTAAGGCCGCATTTATATGATCAAAATACAGTAAAAACAGTAATATTTTGAAATATTACTATTTAAAAGTAATAATTTTCTATTTAAAGGGGCCATATGATGCAAATTAAATTTTTCCTTTCTCTTTGGAGTGTTACAAGTTCTTGGTGCATAAAGAAGATCTATAAAGTTGCAAAGACTAAAGTCTCAAATCCAAAGAGATATTCTTTATAAAAGTTAAGAGTCAGTCACGCCCCCCTAAAACGGCTCGTTCTAACACGCCCCCACATGTCTACGTCACGATGTGGGAATATTTGCATAACACCGCCCAAATGTTCACGCAAAGAGAGAAGGCGTAACTTTTATTCTCGCTGTAGTATTGTTGCTGCCGCCATGTCGTGAAGGCGCTGTGTTTCGTTGTGAAAGCGAAACTACTTTGTTTGGCCTTCCAAAAGAGGAAGATATCCGCTTCGTCATGCCTAGAGCTGATCCGTGCTGATCGCTGAGGAAATACGTCAACTTTGAGATATGGATCGCCGGATCGGCTTTCACCGTGGATGAAGCAGAGTCCAGCCCAGGGTCATCACATGTGGTTGCCGCAAGCCCGCCGGACGCTCTTTCGTAGAATCCGTCGGCAGCGCCGTTCTCAAGCCCACCGACCTCCGCTCACTCATCCCCGCCAGCCATTCCTCACTCTAGCCCCCGGCCTCTGCTCACTCTAGGCCGCCATGTGTGACGCTGTGTCTCGTTGTGAAAGCGAAACTACTTTGTTTGGCCTTCCAAAAGAGGACACGACTAGAAAACAGTGGTTAAGTTGTATTTACAACACTGTTCCAGAACACTTCAACCCAAATATTCAGATGTGTGCAGCACATTTTATGGAGGACTGTTTCCTGGTATAGTAGACTACAATGCTGGCTGTTCTGACTCACAGACTGCAAGTACGTTTTTTTATATTTAAAGGATTTGCCACTGACAATTCAAACGTGAGTTTTGAGCAGTGTGGAGTAGCACTTGTTGTTTGTCATTTCTCCGATCACAAATGCAGACATGGTTTTATGTTTACGCGGCGCGATGCAAAGCAACGCG